GTATTTTATGTCGCTTATTATCACTCACTCACTGTATATGTTTGTGAACTAGGAAATCACCAAATTCCAGATAGTAGTCTCGGGTGTAAGTTCAAGTGACACGCTTCACTTCTTTAATCCCACCACAAAGGTTCAGAATGAAAAATACGCTGTAGTTGTCCTAATACAACAGCCACCGGCCCTTGCCTTTGAATGTACAAAACAAAGTGGAAATGAACTTCAATGTATCAGACCTTTAATTTTACATAAATGGAACCTTACTTTTAATTATTATTTAAGAACCTTCCATTGGAGAGAGCTATGTCCAAAATCCCAAAATCGGAACGTGGTACTTAACCAAAAATTACAGAGACAATCAACCAAAAATAATTTGTACGTAGGTATTAATGAAAATAAAACTCTTACACTATCTCGTTGCCCAAGACAGAGTGCATCCCAAAATCTCCCCGTAAGGATTCCTACCACCGTTTCTCATTAACGACCACACACAACATCGCTTCTTATCAATGAAACACGGTCTTATTTACTCGTTGATCCGTTTTCTGCACTAGCAATTAAATAAAACCTAGGAAAATACATCAAATCCCACGTATGATCAACGTATGCCACGTTGCGTTTTCCACGATACTGAAATGATCTCGTGCTTATTCAGTGGTTTAGAAGCCACGGTGGCTCAGCTTATATCAAATATATCTCCAGGATATCCCGAACCCATTATGAAAACAATGCTCTACGGAGATTAAAAGACGCAAAAAGGACAATCTTCAATTCCACCAAATGCTTACAGATATACTTTCGAAATTCCACTAGCCACCTATTGTATTGGAAAATCGGCCCTATAAATGTTGACACCCTTTCTTATGTAATGTCCGCTCAAATCTTTGAACTACAAAAAATGTCAACTGTATCTATCTATAAAATTCGAAAAATAAATCCAAATTTAGAGCTACCGTTACCGTGCCCTCCTAACACGAAAGAGGCTGTGGAAACAATGATTGCAAAACGCCAACTGGTGTGCCGCCAGCTGATTGGTTCTGCATGTTACTGGATACTCGAATACATTTCTGATTAATTTATTACTATTACTATCCCTCTCTTGTTTTGGGCCCTCAACAGGCATGCGCTCAATTACAGAGTGACCCGCATAATGCTATTTAGAGTTGCCTCTGCGGAAGGTCTTAAGTTGTTCTATACTACTCCGGTATTTACCTTACGAATTAGGAAAACTGAAGGAAAACCTAATTCGGAGTAGCCGGTAGAATGCTCGGAACTGGTCTAAGGTAATTTCCATCTCCGCCACAGATGAAAAATTCATCTCAACCCAGGTTCGAACACCCGACCTCCGGATTTATAACCCAATGCTCTACCACTGAGCCATAAATCCGATCCGATTAAGTGGACTGCTTATTCGGAATTCCACAGTTGCCATGGAAATGTCACTTGAAGTTTGTTTTATAAAGATCACCGATTTCACAAATGAAACAAGTATAAATTGTGCACAACTCTTGTGCAGATAAAGCGCATTTTTTAACCGAAATAGCTTTTGTTTTGGCATCACCAATGGATATATTTCTTGCAGACGTCTCAATCGCCCTTTGTGAGTACCCTCTTCCGACAATCTGTTTTTGAGGTATAAGGGAATATACCCGATCACGATAAGAGGTCGAGAAGGAGCGCTATGGTTGGTAGAAATTAATTCTTTTCGTTGAGACCTTTCATTAGAGTACCATGAAGGATAAAACTAGTTCCGCCGCCCCCCTCCCCCTCCGCCCCGTACTTTGGTAAGAGGACAGAAAGAAGAGCAATAGTTGGTAGAAAACGGTTCCTTTCGTTGAGACCTTTAATTAGAATACAATGAGAGATAAAATTAATTTTTAAGCGTCGAACTGCGAAGGTTACGCAAAGAACCGCCCCTCCCTTCCCTCGCTACGGTGTCTTAACTTGACCTCTATGCCGCGAGGGGGGCGTTCAAAGCGTCTCGATGCCCTTCATCCGTATCGCCATCTTCGCCTTCCCGAAACACCTTTTCCGCAAAGCGCACGTTTTCTCGAAAAATTCGCACGCGTCCTCCACGTCGCGTCGCCCAATTCGTACGCATCACGTAGTTCAATACGGTAGAAGTGGGTCCGGACTGACGGACGGACGGACAAAACGCAAACAATAGCACATTTTTTTTAATTCTTAAAAAATGCGCTAATTACTTCAGTTCCAAAAGATAATAGACCGTCCATTCGGTGGTTTGTTGCAGAAACGGAAGAAAAGTCGGCACCTACAAAATCCCGTAACGCTCTGCAAGTGGTTAAGAATAATATTATTTTAGAAAGCATCTAAAGGGATTATACCGGGTGGTGCACGGTAAGTAGGAACATAGGGATTTAACATGGGAAATTAGTTTTATGCAATATCCTGCCCTCCTGTACATTTTACCGAAAAAACTGTAGAGTTTAAAGTTGTTCGGAATTAAAAGGTGCATACAAAACTGTGTTTACATGTTTTATTAAGCTTTTGGTATACCCGTAAATTTAAAAATAAATTTCAACATTTCTATCACTGTAATAATACCAAAAATAAGGAATTCGAATTGTGCAAACTTTAGCGCTTTAATTTGTTTGCAGCGACATCTAATGCATAAATCCATAAGCGTAATTTTAGTTTTAAATGTAAAATGTTTATACTGCTGCTCAATAGAGGGCGCTTTTAAGTATACCTAAATGTGTGATCCATTAAAAGCATAAGGTTACCAATCTCTTTAGCTATAGTAAATGCCTATACAGGGTGGTTAAAATTCGTGGCTTACCATTAGGATCCCCGTAACGGTGTAGGTTAAATGGGGGCAAAGTTGCCTGTTTTTGTGATTAAAAAAACGTGTTCGATGTGTTTGAAAAATGGGTACGTTTTTCAGAAAATCTGAATCTGTTGTCAGAATTTCCATAACACGCTAGATGTAGAAGCTACAGGCTACTACTTCCTTATTTCTGATGGCCGCCATGTTGGATTTTTCCGGAATGAGATAGAGAACAAAGAAGAAAAATAATGGAGTGCTCTATACTTTTTCATAAATGTATAAAAAAAATTGCAAAATTAAATGTTTGACATTCATTTCTCAACAAAAGATCCACGGATAACTAGATTTTCCTGACCCAACGCCATGTTGAGTAAGGAAAATCATAACCATTAAAATCATAGCCATTATGATGGCGATTAATTGAAATGAATTTCTGTGGTGTGTTCTTTATCTCATTCCGTAAAAATCCAATATGGCGTGCATAATAAGAAAGTAGTATCCTGTAGCTTCTACATCTAGCATGTTATGGAAATTCTCAGATTCAGATTCTCCGAAAACAAGGGTGGGGACCGTCCATTTCCGACGGCTTAAGCTAGGAAAAATGAAAACGAAATTGACATTTTCACCAATGGTGAGCCACAAGTTTGAACCATCCTGTACAGCCTTCAGTTGCTGAAGAAAACGACGATATTCAAAAGAGGTTCAAGTGATTTAAAAAAATACACAACAATTTGTTGATTTTTTAAGTTTTTCTAAAAGGCTTTTTTTAAATCTTTCGTTGTTAAAAAAACAATAAAAATAATTTTGAACCATCTATTTTTTTAATTTATTAATCACGCACGATGTCCTAGAGTTATAACTAAGTATTAATTTGATGAGCTCAGCTCAGCCTACTTGATTAAAATGTAAAAATAATTTATTTTACTAGTTTTCTTTGTTCAATCATATATTTTGCATTGTTGAAAAGAGAAAAAAACTTTCTTTAATTATGTAAAAATCCAATATGGCACCCATTAAAAAAAAGAAATGTGAATAATGAACTGTTATAATTATAATTTCACCTTTGCATTTTTTTTATCTTTGTTATTTATTTATGTTTATCTTATATATTATATTACAATCTATGAACTATGGATTCATCTAATTGTAGGATGTGATAGATGTAAAGAAGACCGTAACCCCATCTTTAATTTTTTTGTTTATAATCGCAAGTACCACATAAAAATGCGTATGAGAAACTAACGCAATATTATACTGTAGCGAATTTTTTTAAGCGATATCAAGGCGCCATCAAGTTGATAAATCTCCGGCGATAAGGAAGTGACTCTTTCTTTCTATAAAATAAGATTAGATCTCTCAAAAATTCTAATTGAGTTGTGTTTAGTCTTAACATCGACGTAGAAGTGATAAATAATGAAAATCGTTCTGATGTTATAAATCACACCTATTTAAGAACCGTTATAAATTTAGTCTTAGAGCCTGTGAACATTAATAATTAATTTTGTATAAATAAATCACGTAATTAAATTTACAATACAATTTAATGTTAAAATAAAACAAAACGATCCATAACAACCGAGGGAAAAAACAAACAGCAGTAAAGTTGTTGATTTCAAGCACTTTTCACGGATCGTTTTATGATGCTGTACTAAAAATTTTCATAGGGCCTTATCGACTCGTTCTTTTCGGCGTAAAATTTTTAATTTGGCAATTTTATAGTTATTACATAATGAAACTCTAAGAAGACCGGTTTTATTGCGATAGTTAAACGAAAGATATTTTAAAAACCACGTCTCTTGTGCTCTAATATTTCACGTTACTGGAAGAGTTACATTTTCCATTTTGTCCGAATCCGCTGAGAATTACCGACGTTGCTTTATTGTTGCAATTTCCAGTTGAGATCGGGCTGCAATTTTCATTCATCTTCTATAGCGAAACCAAAAGTAATTATAGGCAGGAATTTTAACACGTGTACCGTAATAACGTAAAGCGGTCACGTGTACCTTTACAAGCCGTACACGAATCTTTGTACATTACAAAATTCATTGATGAGCAGTGATAGATAGTGACTGTTCATTGAAAGGACGTGTGGCGCGCTGATCTTAATTTATATTCATCTTTCGCAATTTTCTTTGAAGGTGATTTAACGCGCGTACTTGTCGCCTATTTCTAAATTTATTCGTGTTAGAGATTAATAAAGTTTTTTAATTTCCAGATTCTCGCCGACGTCCCGAGCATCTGTGCGAAATTTGCTGATTCAACGTCCCCTCCCCCTCTTCCATTTCACGTGGACGGATGACAGTACGGTTAAACACAAATGATCGAAAAACACACCTTTCATTTAAACGCGATTCCGGTAATATTTGGTTGATAGTCGAACACGTGGGAATCGGCAAACGAGAATATCGGATGTAAATTGTGAAAATGTAAAGTGAGTGGTATAAATGTAGATGCGGGGTACGATGCCCTCGAAGAAGCAGTATGATTTGGTGCAAAACGACGACTACGACACGAGAATACCTCTACATCCAGACGAAGCCTTTCATCATGGAATCACATTCAGTGCAAAGGTAAGGAGATTATCGCTTGGGGGCAGATAATGTTACAGATAATTGGAGTTCAAACAAATTTGGTAAATTGCATTTCTTGTGCAGTTTACACAGGATGGATTGCCTGGAATGGGCCTTGAATGCAATGTTGTTGCTCATTATCAATTTTCCCAAATCGGTTTATAATTGCGTTCGTCGTTATATCATTTTGCACTCAAATTAGTAAGTGTCTAAACAAATTGTAGTCTACTGAATTAGATTTGAATTGACCGTTTCTTTAACGAGCGATTTTTTTTTGTGAAAAACGTCAAATTCATTCGTTTTGCATTTTTCTTGTTTTTTTTAAAATTTAATTCATACCCTGACCATGGAAATTTGATTTTGCAGGTATTTTTGTGTTTTATTACTGGGGGAACGGGGGTGAATAATAAAACTAAGCTAAACCTTCTATTAAACTTCCCCCAAGCTATCTAAATGGAAGTGTTTGTCACATTTTTGATTGATACTTCATACCTCGCTTGATACTTTGGCATATACCTGGCGTTTCTGCCTCTCCCAGAATTTAGTCAACTGTCGTGGGGATGTGTCCCTGGTAGGTACTAACAGGGGTGCATCTCCACCACTTTGTTGCCATTGCGCTGGTCCGCGACATAATTATGCCAAACAATGTTGTGGATTGGGGAGGTTGTGGGGGGGGGGGGGGCTAACTGGGTGTTATCCGACCCGAAAGGGTACGACCACAGCAGCTTCGCCACTGGAATATCTGCATTAGAGGGAACTCTGCTTCCTGGTGATGGTCTCGCCCCCAGGTTTTCTACTAGTTTCCGCTGCCTCCATCCTTTTGTCTCATTTCTTTTCTTCTTGTTTCTCCCTTTCTTATTGTTGTCTCCCTGCCTCTCTTTCTGCCTCCTCGTCCTCCGAGCTGCTTGTGCTTATATCTGATTCTTCCTCCACCCCCAGTACTCGCCTGCTTTCTTTCTTCATTTGGTGTTTGTCTCTGCTCCACTCTTCCCATCTTTCTATGGGAATCCCCGAGGCCGTCACAGTTTGGTCTATAGTGGTGTTCCCTGTGAAGCAGGGTAGGCCTACTTTCCACTCCGAAGCACGTAGGTTCTTGGCCATCTGCAGTATACGATCTTTGTTCCTCCTGTTTATATGCCCCAAGTTTCTCACTTGATTCATTTTCAGTCGCCTAGTGATCGTCTTTCCTCCTAGTAAGTCCCTTAACTGCTTTCTTGTGAGGTTGCTGTTTTCAAGCAGTATCCGTATTGCCTTCCGTTCCGCCCTCCTCATTGTTTGTCTGGTACTCTTTGTTAGGGCAGATGTGTTCACTCCGTACAAGATTGTCGGAGCTATGACCGTGTTGTATAGCAGCATTTCCAAGTTGTCCGGTATTTTCTTCTCTCGTATTAAGTTCCGAATTCCGTATGTGATTCTGAATGCGTTGGTTATTCTGTTTTTCACTGTGTTGTGTCTACTGAGTGTGCCCAGATATTTAATTTTGTGCTTCATGGTATCCCTCGCGGCTATTGTGATCTTTCCCGCTTCCTTGTATTGGGTGTTGCTTCCTGGGTCTCTTATGATGTAGCTCTTTTCGTTCCGCGTACGCCGTGTTTGTAACTGGCCATCCGTACTAAATTCCCTCACCACCCCCTTTGTTTGGTCTATGACGTTGTCCAGTGTTAGCGGGAAAAGTCTTGGTGAGAGCGGACATCCTTGTTTGATTCCTTTGGTTTTTATTTGGTGCTCAGCTTCTTCCCAAACCATTGTATACTAGTATACTCCCTTAGGCACGCGTTTATTCTATTAGTTAGGAATTTGGGCAGTCCTAGTAACGTCAGAGAGGTGACTATTTGCTTCATGCTTCACTTGGTCGAAGGCCTTTGCTAGGTCTATCGCTGGGAGCCATATTTTGGTTCCTGCCCTCCAGTATTCGTCTATAATCCTCCTGGTCGTGAATATGTAGTCGTCCGTTTATCACGATTGCTTGGTATGCTGGTGTCTTGGTGTGCGGCCCTATAAACATTGTAGTAGGTAGGTTGCGTATATCTTGTATCCCTCGCTGCATAGCGAGATTCTCCTGTAATCGTCTGTTGTCATTCCTTGGGGACCAAGTTCCTAGTCCATACCTCTTGAATTAATACGTGTAGGTCCTTTATTAGCCATTCTGAAGCGTATTGTAGTAATTCGGCCTGGACCCTATCCTGCCCTGGTATTTTCCCCTTTTTCAGTCTTCCTACTACTATGCGATAAAAAATGAGTAGCTGTCGAGTCACCTTTGGAATTTTTGTTTACAATGGGAAATCGTACTTCTTGAATTTCCAAAGGCGACTCGACAATAACTCATTTTTGTTATCTCAATCATTTCTTCCAGCGTGGGGATGGTGGTAGTGGCCAGTAATCGTTCTCCTCCAATAGCTGGGCCTGTGCTTCTTGTTCCGCCTTCAGAAGCTTCTCCTATGCTGTCATTGGTACTTTTTTTTTTGTTCCTCCTTGTGTTTTTTTATGTGCTTATCATTTGCGCATTCCTCTCCATTGAGCTAAGCTTGGCTATGTTCTCTGCAAACTCAGCGAATTCCTTAATCTCATGTTGTTCAAAGGCTCTATTTTTCTCCTCCCTGGCCTCCCTTAGATCTTTCTTTGCTTCGGGTTTGTGCGGGTTTTGCCCAAACCTCTTCAATGCTCTTGTGTGGTAGTCCAGTTGTCCCTGCTGTTTCTGTAAGTGTCTCGGCTATCCTGTTCCAAGATGGTCCCCTTCCCCCTTTTGGTGTCTGATCCCGTCCCGCCCTGCTCCCTATTCTTTCCTTCCTTTTCGCTTTCTTCTCTCTCCCCCCGCCCCCCCCCCCTACTTTCCCCTTGCCATCTTGTGGTCCGATCCTACTGAACTGGCCTATACTGCTACTGTGTTCGTGACGCTTATTTCCTTTTCTTTGACTTGGTCCTTACTATGTGGTCGATCTGTGATTCAGAGTTCCCTCTTCTCCATGTTGTCAGCACCGTTTTGGATTTGCTGAATCTGTTTTCCACCCTCAGTCCATGTAGATGTACCATGCTCCTAAGCTCGTTGCCATTCACGTTGTCTTGCTCGTGCTTGCGCATTTTGCCTATCCTTTGTTTCTCCCCTTCCATTCCGTCTATTCTGCATAGTATGATGCCCGGGTACCTTCCGCTCTTTTGTTCTATTATTTCGCTCAGTTTTCTGAATTCCGCTTTTCCTCTTTTGTCCGAGGGGATGTGGCATCCTTTGACCGTTAGTCTTCCTAAGCTCATCCTTGGGCCATACATATACTCTCGCTTCGTCCTTCAAGTTTCTTAACCACAATGCCTCGGTGTTTCCTGATTACGATTACTGTGCACCTGCTAGTTCTCTCCTTCTCCACTCCTCCTATTCACCAGTCCTAGTTCCTTGTCGCGGCCATCCCACTTGTCAGAATTCTTCCACATTCTCCCTGATTCTTCCCTAATCCTTTTGGTTAATCTCCTGTGTGGTTCCGATGACACCGGGAATCCCCTAAGTTGATGCCCAATAGCTCCGAACAGGCAGTCCACATCCTTATTTATCCTGACGTACTCGCTTGTGCGCACTACTTCGATCATCCTGTTTGGCCGCTGTTGCTAATCGCTAAGAAAAAGTAGTTGAACACTGAACAGTGATAAGTGAACGCTGAAAGAGATAATTGAATTGAATTATGATTTGGCACAGTGAGACGTGTCCATGCAACTAACTTAGCCACCCTGTATAATGTGTGTTAGAAGGTAACCTTGTGAAGTGAAATTCAGATTAATTGAGTCGGGCGATGGGAGTAAACTTCTTATTTATACCGTATAATTTATTTTACAATTATATGTAATTCTCTCCTCGCACAAAAACTTGCCAGTCCTCGGATGCGCTATTATTGACCTGGGGGTTTCACCAAATATACCAAGAAGTGTCATCAACTTGAGAATTTAAATAGCTTGACAGGTTATGTTTCCTTTGAAAAGGGTCTAATTCTAATTTTTCACGCCCATGTGTATTGGTAACCCGCGATATTTCCCGTTTCGTTTATCTGGACTACCTGGTTAATCCCCCCTCCTCCCCTCGCCCCCAATGGCCTGCGTCTCCCTATTCTATCTTCTCTAGTTTAATTTAATTTCATTTCAATTATAACCTTAATCCTAATACTTACCTTTTGTTGTTATGTTGATTTGGTTTCTACACTGTTTTGCCACAACTTAATTAAGACCTCGCGTTTTATTCATATGTGTCTTGATAAAGACAAATTCCACTTAGGCTTCAAGTGTAAGCCCGATTTAAGCGCGGATCCTCCTCGCGTTCAAAATTCACCGATTTCTTTACTAGAGTGGTAAAGTAAACACAGAACTCGCCAGGGACAACCGCTCTCTATGTCGGTCCAGACTGAACTAAAGTGTTTGTGACGTTTTTGATTTTTATCAAAATTACCAATTGCAATCGATAGTTGGTTTTTAAAATCCTGATTTATAATAGTTATTTATTATACAAGACGATAAAGGGATATTTTAACCATTGAGTTGAAGAAACTTTCACTTTATCGTCGTGTATAATACAACACTTTATTTTATAGCAAAAGTCATATAAATCATTGTAAAGCTTCTGACAATTCTGAATTTCATTTAGATAGGTACGTCAAAAATAGTAAGCTTATGTTCTTCCGTTGTGATTGTTTCTATAGAAACAGAATTGTCATATATTCTGAACGTCATTTTATAACGTGCATTTGAAATAAGAATGACAGA